TGTGTGTGTGTGTGTGTATCCAGCAGCTCTGATCTTTGCTTCCTGCTCTCCACCTCTTACCCCTTCCCCGCCCCCCTTCAGCCTAGGCCAATACACTTCCTGAAAACACTGAGAGAGAAAGAGAAACGTCACCCATAATCCCCTGGGACAGATACTTCCTCCCCGCCCCTCAGGCCACGCTAGCAACGTCCAAACTAAAATGGGCAATTAGCCCCACCAGCTGGTCCCCTGAGGCCTCACAGGGTAGTGTCCAGGAAGCCCTGATTCTAGCTAGCCCTTATGGTGAATCTCCCGTCCCAACATGCTGAAGGAGGCCCAAAGAGGCTGCAAAATAGGCTCCCTGAAGGGAACAGTTTCTGTCCCAGCAACAGGTGATCAGTCTTCAGAAAGACCAAGGATTGGCTGAGCGGCAAGACATTCTGGGGCACAGAAGGGAAACCTTGTAAGGTGTGACTCCAGTCAGTGGCTAGCCTGCAAATACTTCCTTTCCCTCAAATACCTGTAGGTATCCAAGTACCCAGAGGAGGAAGCTGAGACCCTCAAGAGTTGGAAGGGGCCGTGTGGAGTGATTCTGGGACCCTTGATCAGAAATGATACCTCTGTGATTCAGAGAAGCAGATCCTGAGGATTTTGTCTCTGACACCTAAAACTGGGTGGACAGGGCCAGGAGGCAGGATCTGGATGCTGGTTTCCCCTCGGGTGGAGTGGCTCTGGGCAAGTTTCCCCTCAGCCATTCATGGCCATGGGCTGAAATAACAGACAATGTTACAGTTGCAGAGGTGAAGTGGGGTCTTCAGGCTGCTTGTGAGCCTGCTTCTAAAAGCCCTCCATCCTACCAGGCAGAAAGGAAGGAGCCCCATCTTTCCTTGTTTTCTGGTTTGCTTACAGCTTTTCTGTGGCCTAGAATCCTATCAGCTTCTTGTTTCCCACCATCTCTACTGAAGGCACTCCCACCCCACAGATGGGGTGACATGAACTAAGGAGGATTTAGGGTGATGAACTCAGGGCCCTTAGCTCTATGGCCAGTATGGTCTGAGGCCTGCTCACATCACCTGCAGACACCCAAGCTCAGCACCCTCAGTGTGAATGCTCCTGGTATCACGGGCCTTTCCTCTCCATGACATGTATAAAGAACCTATTAGGTACTGTTCGCCAGACATTGGGGATTCAATAGTAAAGGAAACTGACAAGGATCCCACAGCCCTAGGAGAGCTGACATTTTAATGGCTCTTGGCAGCATATGCACACACATATGTGCACAATGACTCACACTTGACAGTACACAAACAATAAATGTGCCAACTCACTTACCCAAACAGCATCTGCACACTATTAACAATGCAACCTAGCACTGAAATCCCCATAACACCAAAACGCACAGGCCCGTGTATATGTCTACTTAGCCCGGATGAGCCCAGATATACAGGCCTGTCACCTGTACAGATCCCTGTACTTATTAGGATCAAACATGGCCACCTGCAGAACCAGCACAAATATGAAAATACACAGACATGTTACCACCCGGACAGCTGGCAAAAGGTGCATATGTATACCTATACATGTGGTATATAGACACTCAGACAGGCAAAACACCCATACACATAGAGTAAAAATTAAAACAAAAACAAAACAAAAAAAAAAAAAAAACAACTAGGGGCTGGAGAGATGACTCAGTGGTTAAGAGTGCTGACTGCTGTTCCAAAGTCCTAAGGTCAATTCCCAGCAACCACATGGTGGCTCACAACCATCTGTAATAATATCTGATGCCCTCTTCTGGTGTGTCTAAAGACAGTGACAGTGTAGTCACATACATTAACTAAATATTTAAAAAAAAAAAAACTAAAGCCTATATATATCCATGAGCTGAGGAGTGCATACGCCCGTACGTACTGACGCCTCATCCCCTGGACAAAGATGCCAGGCCTGGCACCACTTCACCCTAAGAAATGGGCCCTATTCCCTAACAATCCATTACAGTAGTTATCTACAGAGCATTTACAGTGTATTTGGCACTGTAAGTAATGTCCAGATGATTTGCAGTACAAGAGATGGGGCTGGAAACTCAGACCAGCGGTAGAGAACTTGCCTAGCATATGCATAGCCAAGTCTGATCCTAAAGCACAGAAAAACAAACAAACACCAAAGCAAAAGAAACCATGAAGAATGCACACAGATTCTTGAAAGTATTACACCATTTTATAATGCCCCCAACCCTGTGCCTCCTGAGGGGCCAGATGTCTTAGTCAGAGTCCTTGACTCCTCCATATGCTGGCCAAGCACTTGTGTTCAGACTGTAGCTCTGAGAGTGGAGTCTTGTATCCTGGGGCTCAGGGCTGTAGATATGATTTTTATTTACCCTAAGAGTTTCACGAACAGGTACAAGTGTCAGGAGACCCACAGAGGGCCCAGATAGGTCAGGGAGGGCATCAGGTCCCGAGGGCAGAGGGCGGAAACCCCATCCTTGGTTTTTCCTGATTTGTGTACACCTTGGTCTATAACCTAAAATCTTTTTTTTTTTCTTTCAAGACATGGTTTCTCTGTATAGCCCTGGCTGTCCTGGAACTCACTCTGTAGACCAGGCTGGCCTCAAACTCAGAAATCCACCTGCCTCTGCCTCCCAAGTGCTGGGATTAAAGGCGTGTGCCACCACTGCCCAGCTATAGCCTAAAATCTTATCCACACTGAGTTCTTCCTGTTGTCCTCTTCTGAAGGCCTCTCCCTTCCCAAAACATCTCCAGAGGGTCACCCTGGTGAAGTGGAAACTTATGGTTTCTTTTGAAAGTCAGTTGTGTCAGTGTTTTGCTGGGGCAAACACGTGAAAGAGTGTTTTTTCCTGAAGCAGACACAGGTGAAACGACATTTTGCTGAGACAGACACATAAAGGAATGTTTCACTGAAGCAGACACGGGTGAAAGGATGTTCTGCTAAAGCAAGCACGTGAAAGGACACGTGATGAAGGATTCTTCACCAACCACACACGGGTATTCATTCACCTTACATTGCATAGTTGAGCTCCATTTGTCAGGGCTCCATAGACAGAAATGCACCAACAAACTTCTAGTGAGGTTCCTGCAGCTTCTTACCACTTCTACAGACTCGGGACAATTGACAGAGTGATGTCAGCAGAGGCAGACTCACGTGGAGTTTTGCTAAGACAGACTCACATGCTGAGACAAGACATGTGACGTTTGGAGGGAGTATAAATAGGACTCAAGGGACAGTGACAAGGGCTTGACTTGCTTTTAGCAGTGCTTCTTCATCTCTGCTTCAGTGAGAAGGGCACAGCCATGGATTTCTCCTGGCATCCCTGGTGGTCCTGGTCCCTCCTGCTGACTCGTGCTGATTCAGCTGAGGCCTAGCTCTCTCTGCTAGGTCCTACCACTGCTGCTGATTCATGTTTGCTATCCTGGCACTACCTAACCAGACTGCTAGTTTATTCGTAACAACGTTTGCACGTGGATCGAGCTGCCGCTGCTGATTTCTATAAACTGAACTGTTGGTTTCCTAACAGCACAGGTGAAATTTGCTTCAAAAAACAATTTCTAAACAGGCCCAGTACTCCCCTATATTAATAACCTTTTTTCCCACTACCTCTGGTGGATGGTGGGCTTGAAGGGAGGTTAAAACATTTAAAAAAACGTTATTAAAATTAAGGTAAAAGAATTAAAACCTACATCCTGGGTTGGGAGAAGGAAGGAGAGAAGGGATGTGGGTTGGTAAATTCAGGGTATCCTGAATTCCAGTAACTCTGAATCAGCTATGGCCTCTCCCTGTCCCTGTCCCTCTCCCTGTCCCTGTCCCTGTCCCTGTCCCTGTCCCTCTCCCCCTCCCCCTCTCCCCCTCTCTCTCCCTCTCCCTCTCCTTCTTCTTCTCCATCCTGCATTCAGGAAAATGACCACTAGAGGGAGAAACTGCACCAAGAACTATGAATCTATACTGTGGTAACAGGGTCCCGAGGATTCAGGAGGGGAAAAAAAAACAAAACATCTTGTACTCTTTTTCCATCAATTACATCTCATAACTTTAGACCTGGCTTGGCCTAGAAGGTCCCCTGACTCAATGCTACTCTCTAGATGGAGAAAACCTTACAGACTTTACCCACAAGAGTGTTCTCTGCCCCCCGCCTCCCATCACCACCAAGAACCTGCATGGATCCAGCTAGTCCCTCCCTCCATGCCCCAAGCCCCAGGTTCGCAGCTTGAAATCAGAACACGATAGATCGCCACCTTCCATTGAAGGCTTGCTGCAGAGCTCAACGAAATTCCCCAGCACTGTCCAGCAGTGACAAGGGCAAGAGACCTGTGACAGCACATCCCTTCAAAAATCCAATGGAAACTCATTCCCCCAAATACATGACAGCCTGTCTTCAGACACTTCTCTGGCTGGCACCAAAGCAAACAGCTGAAAGGGAGGAGAACTGAGTGGAGTGTTCATAGAAAGAGGGAAAAGCTCGGGGAAGCAAGAGGAGATTAGTCAGGGAGAGGAGGAGTTCTGAAGACTGAGAGTCAGCAGGCTGCCGCTCAGACAGGCCCTGCCCTGGGATTTGGTGAGATTTGTCAAGTACAGCATTGGGGGTGGGGAGCATTATGACGGACAGAAGCACTCCCCACCCCCATACCTGAGCCTTCATCCCAGTGCTCCATCTTTCTCCACACACTGTCTCCTAGTGCCAGGGTACACCCTGATCTCCACAGTGTTTCACAGGCCAGGTGCCCCAACAAACTCACATGTCTCCCAAACTTTCTTCAGTTACTGGGCCACCCTCAGTGATGACATCACCACCCACTTGCTGGGATAGACACCTGGGGGCTCCCCTATTCTTTCTGCACATATCCAGGTATCCTTAAGTCTTGGCTATCCTTGGGTCCACCCCTCACCCTACTCTGCCCTGGCCTGGCCCTGCTCTCTTCTCTCTAAACCTGTGTCCCCACCAGCAGTCAGAGTCGTTCCTCAAACCCTGGCCCTAGGACCTTCCACCCACCAGCCGTGATGTCACTCACCTGGCCTGTGGGTAGGGGGGTCCGATTCGAGGAGGTACAGGAGGAATGCTTGGTTCTACCAAGTGTCTCTTGGCAGGCAGTGGGGGCAGCACAGGATCTGGGGCAGCTGTGGACGGTGGAGTGAAGCAGGCAGGTGGGAGGCAGCTCCTGCGGGGTGGGATAGGTGGAGCAGCAGGAAGACCCTCATCCTCTCCAGCTGTGGGTGGCGGCTCAGGTGGAGTGATGGGCACAGGTGGTGAACGGAAGATATGTCGCTTCATGGGCACAGGTCGTGGGGCAGGGCGAGGCAAAGGGACCGGAGGTGCTTGGGCACGATGCAGTCCAGCCAGGATACGGCGGCGGTGGCCAGGGAGGAGCATGCCCATGTCCACCAGGCCGGCATCGCTGAGGCCTTGGCATTCAGTGGCCCATACCAGTCCGTGCTGCTCAAAGAGTGCAGTGTACTGCTCCAGGTGCAGTGCCCGCAGCCACTCAGCTACCGACAGTGCGGCATCGTGGCCCTCTGCCATGGCTTCTGGTAGCAGAGGCCCAGGGCCAGGCTCAGACCTGAAACAGAAGGTCACAGGTGAGAGGCCCAGCAACCCGGGACCATGGCCAGCTGTGTCCCTCTGTGAGCTTCCACGATACACCAGTCGGAATCCTGAATGTCGTAATCTCAAATGCAGAATTCCGAAAGATCAAAATCTAAAGCCTAAATCCCAGAGACTACGGTCCTGAGAGACAAAAGCTTGACAGCTGAAGTGCCCAGACCTGCTCGTGCCATGAGCTCAAAGTCTATTCTCTTGCTGTCAGTAGCTTGCATGTTTTGACATGGGATTTTGCTATGTGCCCCTTTGTCTCTGGCCTTGAGCTAGCCCTAAACTCACTATGTAGCCCAGGCTAACCTAAATGTACATCAATCCTAGGTATGTGCCACAAGGCCCAACTCTACTTCTATTCCTGTAGATCCACACTGTGCCCACATACCAGGCAAAGCTGAGAGCTGCCAGGCCTGACTGAATAGCCCTGGCCCCCCTCTGTGAGTCCCTGTCTTCCCAGGATCTAGCTCGAGGTTTCTTCACATATCATCTCCTCCTCAGCCATCATGTCCCCAACCTTCAGGCTCAGCCACTGCCATGAGACTGGCAAATGGCATGGTTGATGCTGGGTAAGACACCCAGTACCCACTCTTCTCTGCAAGACCCAGGCCAGGCCAATCCCTGTGAGGCACCTATCCCCAGGTGAGGGCCAGGTTTGGAGGCTCAGTGAGCACATGTGAGATTGAAGGGCACTGCTACTGGCCTCCATGTCCCTTAACTAGAGTGCTCCAGAAAGAGAAAAAGCCCAGGTCACACAGCCTCTGAATCCTTCTGTGCAATCCCCTCCCCTACAACCAAGGCAGAGTTAACTTCCCAGTGTCCAGGGCCTGGTGTGAGGGTGACTTCCCAGTGTCCAGGGCCTGGCTGCTTTGATGACTGAGGCAATGAATGAATGAATGAATGAATGAATGAATGGACACTGGGAAGTCACCCTCACACCAGGCACTGGACAGTGGGAAGTCACTTTCATACCAGGCACTGGACACTGGGAACTCACTCTCACACTGGGCCCTGGGCAGTGGGAACTCACCCTCACACCAGGCCCTGGTCAGTGGGAACTCCCTCTCATATCAAGAACTTTGGAGCCTCTTTCTCCTGAGAGTCCAAGGAAGACAGGAAGAGGCAACTAAGAGGTCTAAAGAGTGAAGGCACATCCCCAAAGCACTGAGGAGGTGATGATAACGTTCAGCACTGAGCTAACTTAACAGATTTATACTTCCTTAAACAAACCTCATATAACCTCAAACTAATAGAGAAGTCCAATTGCAGGGGCATGGGGCTTAGAAGTCAGGAGTACTTGCATGGACCAGCAACCATGTTGGATGGCTGTATCTTTAGTTCCCAGGGATCCAGTGCCCTCTTCTGGCCTCTGAAGGACCCTGCATACATGTGGCACACATTTCAACAACAGGAACACACATGTATACACATAAATAAAAATAAAGTTTGAAAAAAAATTCCCATTACAGTGAGGAACAATCATCATTGTGTTTTCTATCCAGATTGCTCTGAAAGTCCTAGGCAACCACAGAGAAGCAAGCAGCTGGAAATATAAATCAGGGCAGATAAACTATCCACAGCTGCCAATGAGAGTTTTGCAATGGGAGCCCAAGCACCTTAACTGAGAAACTGTTACTGGCGCAGATAGAAGAGTTTAGTATGATCAGTGGGTTCAACGCTAACACAACAGACGCCAGTATTTCTGTGCAGTAATCGAGTGGGAAGCAGGATCAAAGTCCCAACTCAACAACAGTCTCACAAACCAGAAAATACCAAGAGTGAGCATCATAAGAAATAGATGCCGGGCGGTGGTGGCTCACGCCTTTAATCCCAGCACTTGGGAGGCAGAGACAGGCGGATTTCTGAGTTCGAGGCCAGCCTGGTCTACAGAGTGAGTTCCAGGACAGCCAGGACTATGCAGAGAAACCCTGTCTCGAAAAACAAACAAACAAACAAAAAGGCAGCAAGCAGGCAGAAAGGTGACATGAATAAAAGTCTGAGGTGTTACTCAGGGATTTAAGAAAGGCCTGTATATGGGTCTGAAGAGCTTGCTTGATGGTTAAGAGCACTGGCTGCTCTTCCAAAGGACCCAAGCTTGATTCCCTAGCACCCACATGGTGGCTGACAGTAGTCTGTAACTCCAGTCCCTAGGGATCCAACACCCTTTTGTGGCCCCTCAAGCACAGGTTCACATGATGGGCAGACAAACATGCAAACAAAACACCCACATACAAATAAGATGACCAGGACAAACAGAAAGGCAAAACTTCTAGACAGGCGGCACCACAGAAGTATTTACTGATTCTCTTGTCTCGAACTCCCAGTGTAGCCGAGGATGACTTCGCCCTTCAAAGCCTTCCTCCTTCACCTCCCAGTTACTGGCATGTGCCAACACACCCTGCTATGCAGCATTGAGAGCTGAACCTAGAGCTTTCCGTACATGAATAGGACACTCTACCAACTCAGCCACGTCCCTGCTTGCTCCCCACATTTTTCCCCAGACTGTGTCTTTGTCATTCAATGTCATATGACACAGTACATAAAAATTAAGCTCTTCGGCATGATAGAACCCACTATAAACAAAGTGGGAAACCACCTAGGAGCTGTCCCCTGGTCCCTTACTTCCCAAAAGCTGAGAAGCACCTCGAAATAGGACATTAGCTGGGCTTGGTAGAGCTGACCTGTAATCCCAGCGCTCAGGAGGCTGAGGGAAGACAGTGTTCATTTAAAGCCAACCCGGGTTACTTGAAAGTCTATTACAAAAGAAAAGGAGAGAGGAGAGAGAGGGGAGAGAATGAGAACCCAAGTGGGTAAGGGAGCACACAAGTGTGGGCGCGTTGTAATTTGTCAGCACTGTGTGGACACAACCTAGAGTTACTGGGAAGAGGAAATGCCGTCTGAGGAATTGCCTCCATCAGACTGGCCTGTGTGTGAGTCTGTGGGATATTTTCTTGGTTAATGATTGATGCACAAGGACCCAGACCACTGTGAGCCTTGCAACTCCAGAGCAGGCGGTCCTGGCTTCTATGAGGAAGCAGGCTGAGCAAGCCATGGGAAGCGAGCCAGCAAGCAGTACTCCTCCGTGGCCTCTGCTTCAATTCCTGCCTCCAGGTTGCTGCCTTGAGTTCCTGCCCTGATGTCCCTTCATGATGCAGGCTGTTAGATGAAACAAACCCTTTCTTCCCCAAGTTGCTCTTGATCATGGTGTTGATTACAGCAACAGACACCAGACTAACGGAGAGAGGATGGTGTGGGGAAGTGGGGAATGATCTGAACAGAGAAGTTCAGAGGAAGAAACACACACAGCCTTTAAACACAGGACAAGGCACTCAACAAAGGTAAAACTCTGCCTTCCATCCATCATGCTGCCAACACAAACAGCCTGAATACACACAGCACCAGTCACGGGGCAGGTACATCCTCCCTGACTGGCAGGGGTGCCTCCAGGATAGGCGATGTCATAGTCACTAGAAGAGGTCCCCTGCTGCTGCCCTTTGACCTTGTCACCCTGGGTCAAAACACCAAAAAAAGGTGTTTCTCCTGCAGTGTTACTGGAACCCATCCAAAGCAACATATATGGAAGGTTATCAGCTTCCAAACTGTGTGCATTACAGAAGATGGAAATAACCAAAATGCCCGTCAGCCAGGAAATGGATGACTAAATTATGGGCTAATCATGCAATAAAATACCAAGTGGGTATGAAAATGAGGAAGATCCTTTTACACTGGCATGAATGAACTCCCTGTTACGTGAGCAACAACCAGTACAGGATTGTAACATTCTGCCCTTTACATATGAGAAGAGCCAACAGCAGTAACGACAGATAAATTAAGTGCCAGGATAAGCGTGTCCACGTGGTTAGATGTATCTCCACAGAGACCAGAGGCAAGGCCACACCAGGGAACTCTCCTTAAAGGAAGGAAGTTAAGGGCTGAGGGGTCCTGAGGGAACAGGGACAGAAACACAGATGGCCTTTTGAGGGAAGGGAAAACAAAAATATCTTATTTTTGAAAAATTAACTAAACATAGAACCTTACAGATGCATTGCTCAGGTCCCTCTCTGAATCCTAGAAAGGCCTTGAACACAAAAACTTCAGCTTCCCTGGAAAACTACTTTGGTGTGGAGGAAGCCGGTTCCTTTTCTATTCTGCCGCTTAGTGTTCAATTATGTGAGTTTTAAAGGAACAGTCACACGGTAGAAAGAAACAAAAACACTCAGTGTTCTTGGAGACAGCGGCCCTCAGTCGCATAATAATAGAAAAAAAAAAGTCTTCCTGGGTTGAACTAGAACCTGAAAGCAATTTCCAAACTGAAACTGGGCAAGGCTCTAAAGTTTATATAAACTGATGTTAGAGATGTATGTCCAAGCATAAAAAGCAAGGTACAGAACACCATTATATAAACATCTGAGCTAAAGAAAAACAAAAGCAAAACAAACAATAACAAAACCATGAACTCGCTCATCTGGGTAGATGCACAAGAAGCTACATTTGGGCCAGGTGATAGCAATGGTTCGTGACTTTAATCCCAGCACTCAGAAGGCAGGGGCCAGGGGATCTGAGTTCCAGGCCAGCCTGGTCTACAGAGTGAGTTCAAAGACAGCCAGGGCTACCCAGAGAAACCTTGCTTCGGAAAAACAAAGACAAACAAACAAAAGCAAACAAAAGCTACATTTGGAGAGAAATGGCAGCTGAGGAGACCGGATCCTTTTAGATCCTTCTTTCCTTCTTTTTGATTTTGTGTCACAAGCCCCTAAAATGAGAGAGCATGTGGTGCTCAGTGGGTAAAGGTGCTTGCCACAAAGCCTGATGACAGGAGTTCAGTCCCTAGGGTGGAAGGAGGGAACACTCTCAGATTCCTACAAGATGTCCTCTGACTTCCATATACATGCTAGGCACCAGAGAGCACAGCAAACACACACACACACACACACACACACACACACACACACACATACACACATACACACACACAAACAAAATAAATGTTTAAAGGGGAGAGGGTTATGGTTATCATTAAGAGCACTTGGAAATGAGAAAGAAACCAAACTCACCAAGCAAGGAGACACCAATCAGTAGTCACCCAGCAAACCAGCCCGGGAGCCCGTCCTCTCCTCTCAGAACCCCTCAGGGAGGCCTTACCAGGTTTTCAGGCCTCATCTTCTGCCCACAGCATCAGCTCCCCAAACAGAATATAAAACCCCAGGTCTCAGCCTCCATGACACTCCCACCTCAGGATCCCAGCTCCTCGCTTACCTGCCACCAAGGACACCTGGTCCTCCAAGGAGGCTGTTCCTAGTCCCAAGGGCTCCTCATGGTGTCTGAGGTGGAAGCTGCAGGGACAGAGATGGGGGAGAAAATCCATGAGGCAAGCAATGCTATGAGGAGAGAGAAAGGGAAAGGGGGATGAAGCAGGGGCAAACCAAAGACAGAGGAAGAAAGTGGAGACAGGGAGGAGGTGAAGAAAGATAGAGAGCAGGCAGAGAGAAGGCTCCAGAGCACCAGGAAGCTCACCATGGAGTAAGACCCCAGAAACTCCTTCCAGAAGGAGTGGGAGGTTGGAATGGTGAGGTTCCTTTAAGAGGTGAGACATGCAGTTACTAAGAGGCTCAGGGCTACTGGCTCCCTGGTTGGGACCCCAGCAGTGAACTGACTACAGGGGAGTCTGACAAAGAGATGGCATCCTGGAGAGAGGGAAGAGGGTAGGCTGCTTTCCTGACAGGAGAGCTAGGGACAGAGGAACACAAGACTGCACTAATCTGGAGGCCATGGAGCAGGCTGAGACAAAGGCGTGGCACAGCTGGGGCAAGGACTTGAGAAGGGTTGAGGAGAATGAGCCAATAGAGGGTTTCCAGAGGAAGACAGAACAGGCTAGCCAACAGGCCCATGCTCTTACTGCTCAGAAGGACCAGGCTCTTCGAGGTGGGGGTGGGGGGGTCACATGAACACGGTGGAATGGACAGACCCCTCCCTGGGGCAAAAGAGCAAAATCAGGAGTGTCCTAGTAACTGTTGGGCCCTGCATAATGGTTTTGGGGGCACTTATAACCATGGTATTAATGGTGAGTACACGCTACAATTGTCACTGCTTAGAACAAGGTTAAAACAGGGACATGGAGTGAGACGTGGTGGTACATATCTGGATCCTGCTACTTAAGAGGCTTAGGCAGGAAAACTGTTATGAAGAGGGGGCCACCCTGGACAACAAAGCAAGTACCAGGCCAGCCTGGGCTACATAGTTAGACCCTGTCTCCAAAAAAAAAAAAAAAATCAAAATAACCCCCCCCACAAAAACAAAAAAAAACGGGTGTTTTATGCGCATGTGGGTGCCTGTGGGTATTTGGGCTAGTACAAGGGCCCGTGAGGGAGTGGGCGCAAATGCATGCAGGGGTGTGCAGAGGCCAGGGGTCAATCTCCAGTGTCATTCCTCAAGCGACATCTACCTTGATTTTTAAGTCTCTCACTGGGACCTGGAGCTCACTAATTAGGCTCCATCGGCTGGCCAGGACCCCAGGGGATCCTGTACCGTGTCCCCCAAGAGAACAGCCGCATGTCCAGCTTCTTAGGTGAAGGCACAGACACGAGGTCCTCATCCTTATGTGGCACTTTACAAACAGCGATGGCCCCAGGGATGGGATTTTAAAGTGAGAAGTTTTTTTTTGTTTTTTGTTTTTTTTTTTTTTTTGGTTTTTCGAGACAGGGTTTCTCTGTGTAGTCCTGGCTGTCCTGGAACTCAGAAATCCACTCTGTAGACCAGGCTGGCCTCGAACTCAGAAATCCACCTGCCTCTGCCTCCCAAGTGCTGGGATTAAAGGCGTGCGCCACCACTGCCCGGCAAAGTGAGAAGTTTTAAAACAACTTTTGAAGATTTTATTTATTTTATGTGTATAGATATTTTGGATGCATGTATGTCTGTGTACCACCCACATATGGTGCCAAAGTAGGCAAGGAGATCTCCTGAGACTGGAGTTGCAGACAGTTGTGAGCCACTGTATGGGTGCTGGGATTCAAATCTGCGTCCCCTGGAAGAGCAGCCAGTGCTCTTAACCCCTGAGCCATCTGCCCAGCCTCTAAAACACATGGTAAGTAACTGGCCCCTGGAGAAAGTGTTAGCCCGAATGGCAGATGGATCAAATGGCTGCTTTAAAAAGACAAACTGGCTTCCTGGCTTAATCCCAGTGCTAAGGAGGCAGGGACAGGAGGATCTATGAGTTTGATTGAGGCCAGCCTGGTCTACAGAGTGAGTTCTAGGACAGCCAGGACAACATAGAGAAACCTCGTCTTGGGGAGAAAAAAAGAGAAACAACATGCATTCTACCTAGTGTCTCCACACTTGAATTCACCCAGTCCTCGCCAAGATCTGTGAAGTACAAAGAACTGTCTAGAGAGCTTGAGATAAAGAGACTAGAGTAGAGGGAACTTGAGCGACTTATCTACGTCCTGGGCTAGGAAGGTGCAGTCTCAACATATCTAGCCCCGCCCAGTCCAGGCCGATAGCTGGCACAGCCATAGACACCTTTTGAACACTTGAAACATGGTCCCCAAAATGAGGAACACTGAATTCTGAACATATGGGATTTTGAAGAGAACGAAAGAAAAAAAAAGAATGTAAACTATCTCACTGTCTTGCTATTGGTTATATGGTGAGAAATAATACTGGGAATATTTAGGTTTAAAATACTACTAAAATGGCGTAAAGCTAGGAATGGTCATACACATTTATAATCCCAGCACTTGGAAAGTACAGGCAGGAGGATCAAAAATTCACCAGCTTTGGGTACACAGTGAGTTTAAAGCCAGCTCAGGCTACAGAACATCCTGACTCTAATAACAATGATGATGATGACACTATTTAACAATTTAAAAGCAGGGGCTGGAAAGATGACTCAACAGTTAAGAGCTCTCACTGCTCTTACAGAGAACCTAGGTTCCATTTCCAATACCCAAATGGTGGCTCACAACCACCTGTCCCCACACCGCTTCCAGGGAACTCAATGCCTCTCCTGGTCTCCTCAGGCACCAGGCACACATGTAAGTACACGTACATACATGCAGGCAAAACACTCACACTCAAAAAGTAAACATTAAAATCATAAGTAAAAGTGTTAAAATTCATAACTCTTATTTGTTTTGTTCTATCTGGGATCAAACCCAGGGCCTTGCCCAGGCTAAGCAAGGCCTCTGTCCTTGAGGCTCCTGAGTGGTGGGATGCTAATATGCCTTCTTTTGCACTAATGTGTGTGTGTGTGATGTGAGTGCATGCACACGTGTGAGCACGTGCACATACATGCCATGATGCGTGTGTTGAGATCAGAGGACAACCCTGGGGATGTATCCCTTACCTATCCCCTTGAGATATTGTCTCTCCCTGATCACTACTGTGTACCAGGCTGGCAGCTTAGCCCTACTTCTTCTTACTCTCCACAAACTTCTGGAACCTCTTTATCTTCTGGAGCATGTCGAGACACACACACACACACACACACACACACACACACATGCACTACTGCATCCAGGCTTGATTTTGTTTTGTTTTTATGCTATGTGTGTGCACACACGTGCATGTATGTGTGTGCATGTGCATAACCAGAGGACACCTCCTTGCAAGAGTCTGTTTTCTCCTTCTGCCACATGCACCCTGAATTCAGGCCATCAGATGGGGGGGCAGGAACCAGTACTCACTGAGCCACCTCCCCACTTTTACTTGGCTCTGCGGATCTGGATTCGGGTCATCGGGCTTGCACAGCCAGCATTTCAAGCACGGAGCCATCTTCCCAGCCTGCTCTTGCATTGTCTATTGGGCAAGGCAGCTGTCCTTAGTCATGCCACTTGCTGCCTCTCATAGCAAGAGTCAAGTATAAAGGACTGCCTGCTGAGCTCAGGCAGCTGACTGGGGAACGGGGCATCGTCCCAACCATCATTGCTGGACAGGCTGGGGCTGGGAAACAGGAACACACTGCCCTCCCTGAGAAGAGCCTGGCCTCTCTCAAGTTCCTATTCCTACACTAAAGGGCACTGGCCAAGGTCAGAGACCTGGGGACTGGGTGCTAACAGCCTCGGGGACAATGCTACTCAAGGAGCTGCGAGCACAGCCCAGAGAAGTCTCCAGGAACTTCAAGCTGGACACTGCTACCCAGGAACCACAACCTGGAGCCCCCATGTTAGGTCAGAGTGGCTTCCCAAAGGTGACTGTCCCTGACAGAAGTCTGTGGTCATCACTGCGGGGCCCGGAGAGTGCTGGTAACACTATCCTGTATTGAAAACCACAGGCATTTGACATGGGTTTCTCTCTTTAAATGGCAGCAGCGTATCCTACCCCTCAATGATGGAGCTCTTCAGCATGGAGCTCTGCCCTCACTCTCTGGGAGGTAGAAACCCAGCCGAGGAAGTATCCTCATCTAACAACCTGCAGCCAGGGGTGAGGGGTACACCCCAACACCCACCCAGGCTTGCGTAGCCACCCACATCCCACACCACCCTTCCTTCAGTGTTGCTCAGCTACACCTGCCAACAGCCACAACTGATGGGGCTCCCTGTGCCCCGAGGGCTCCTCGGCCTGTCATTTGCTGTAGTGCGGCCCTGCCACTGATGGATGAAGAAATAAACACCACAGAGAGGAAGTGACCTGCCCAAATGCTCAATGACATACCCCAAGCCCCAGCCCTATCCACAACTCCTGTGTCATTTCCTACATCAGCACAAGCCTGACATAGGGAAGCCCCCAAAGAGTCAGCTGACAATGAGTATATCAACTACCCTGGCCCCACTCCAAGTCACTTCCTTCAGAAAGTCCTCCAAGACTGCTCCTCAGCCCCCATGTTTCTGCCTGTTCTTGGTCACTCTGTTTCTGAGGATTCACTTGTATCCTGCCTTCAGCATCTTCTGTGATGGCTTGAGTCTGCCTCTCTTTCCAACCTCAGCATCCACAGAGGGACTCGGGGCACTCACTCCCACTTTAGAAGGACTCTAATCCTTGCCAGCCAGTCTCGCCTCTGGTCCAGCTTGACTCCCTCTTGCTGGAACCAAAGCTTTCACCCTCCTAATGACCTTATCAGCCCAGTCTCAAGGCAGAATTTGAACTGACTGCCCATTTCTGGCCCTGGTCAACATTTCCTGCATGGTATGTCTACTACTCTTGACCAGTGACACCAACTTCACCAACCCAGCAAGGTAGCCACAGCCTTGGGTTCTTTCTCTCTCTCAAATGCCACTATCAGCTCATCCCCTCCCAGATTCCCATCTATGTCCCCTTAGTTCTTACAATGATCTCAAGACCTGGGGACATGCTCCACGTCATATGGGTAAGGTGGACACTTACCAAGTCCCCTGCTGTA